TGTGTGAAGCTGAAGGTGCAGTCAAGATCCCCAAAGTTTGGAGAAGCCTGAAACGCAGATTGTTTGAGGGAAACTACAGTGAGGGGAGCAAAGCCTGCCCAAGAGGGAAACCATGGAGCTGTAACTACTCCCACTGCGATGGGGGTAGAGTCACCCAAGCCCTTTGAAGTTCACAGATTGCCAGGGATCTGGACATGGAACTACAGGAGTTAATGTTTGCCATGCTGGATTTTGAACGTACTTTGGTCCCATTCCTTCATATCTCCTTATTGTACCTTCTGAAATGGTAATGTTTATGTTAAGCCATTGAATGTTGGGAGTGCTTACTTTTTATTTGTACAGGGTCTTGTAGCTAAGAGTTTGCCTTAAATTTCAGAGGAGACTTAGGATTTAGACTCTTAGAAATGAGACAGACTAAGTAAGTTCCTTTTGTGTAAAGCAGTGTACATGAGTCTTTGGGGAACTGGGGTGGAATGTTATGGGTTGTGTCTAAATGTCCCCTCAAAGCCTCATGCACTCATAGGTGGGGCTTTTTCAGAGGCAGTTGAATGTAGAGTGTGTAATGCTGGGACTAAGAGTGTGTGATTGTATCAGTCAACTGATTGGTTTGGCACTGCCATATTCCTTGTAGCATGGATACAATATAAGGGACAGGAAGAGGCTTTTGTCTTGCACCTCTTGTTTGTTGCTACCTTCTGCCCACTAAGAAGTTTTTCTCCTCTGCAGTGCCTGTCTGCCGTGCCATCCTGCCTTAAAGCCAGCTGATATGGACTAAAACCTCTATAAACTTGAGCTATAAACTAAAAGCTGTATAAACTTCCTCCTTTAACTTTGAATGTCGGATATTTTGTCTTAGCGGTGAGAAACATTAACTAATTTTTCAGTTCCTTTTGGGAGTAAGAATAAAAAGTAGCTGATGCTGTGGACACAATTAGGTATCTATCCGAATAAAAAGCTAATAAAGCAACGAAGTAGATTTGAAAGTCTTCTGTGACCAAATAGAGCCAATTACTTAATTTGTATTTAATCTTTTTAACTACACTGCCATCTAAAAATAAGACTGTTGATTTTCTAGATTTCATTTTATAGTTCCATTTTAAGAAATATCAAAAACTTTTTTTCCTAGATGTTTTTAATAGTTGCTCCTCTTTCTGTCCTCTACAACTGGAAGGATGAATTGGATACCTGGGGCTATTTCAGAGTCACTATTTTACATGGTAACAAAAAGGACAATGAATTACTTCGTGTAAGGCAGAGGAAATGTGAAATTGCTCTAACAACATATGAAACACTGCGCTTATGTCTGGATGAACTCAACAGGTAATAATAATGGGAGTGATAGCATTAATATCAATATGTATTTGCAAAACTCTAAATTTCCTTTAGTTGATTTAATTTCATTTGAGAATTATTGAGATATGTGATTTATAATAATTTATTCTCTGACAAGGGAAAAGTCTGCATTATATTTTCTGCATTTTTGTACTGTGTTAAAGTCAGTACAGGATGACTGTAAACAGTGCCTGTGAAAGAATGATAAAACTTCCTAAATCTGATGTGCAAACTTTTATGAATATAGTGTCTCTGGACTAGGACAGTTATTTTATGAATAATTTGAATTATGAGTATCTGTGACTATAGAGTGGCAGAATATACTATCTCACTGTAGCCTAGAATGTAAGAGGGATGTAGCTAAAAGACAACATAGTGAGTTATATAGTGAACATGTCATAAATAGGAATGAAAGCTACCTCATGGATTTTGTTCTCTATCTTTAGGGCAATAGAGTATCCCTAAACTGTTTTTAGCAAATTATAAAGATGATGAAAATGATTATATTTGCATTTGGTAGGTACCTGTTTGCTACATGTACTGATAGTGAAAGTCAGATTAATGAAGACTAAGAGATTTGGTACAGGCTAAATTGTTTCTTCACCCCAAAATTTGTATGTACATTTCCCAACTCCAGCACCTCAGAATGTAATCATGTTTCAAGATATGTCTTTAAAGAGCTAAGAAAAATGAGGCTGTTTGGGTGATGCTGTAATCCTGCAGACTTGGAATGCTTATAGGAAGAGAAACAGACACTGAGAACATGCGTGCACAGAGGAAGGAAGACCCAGCCTGCTGACACCTAGATCTGGGATTTCTAATTTATAAGATTATAAGAAAATAGAATTATGTTGTTAAGCTATACAGTCTGTGGTGGTTTATTTTGACAGTCTTAGTAAATGAGTACAGGTTTTTATAATAGCCTTGTCATGGGTATAGAGAGCCCTTCTCAGTCCTTCTTGAGACCCAGGAAATTTATATTTGTTACTCGTGAAAGAGTTATTTGATTTCAGGTGAGTTAATTCCAATCTGCCTTTTCTAGTGCAATGCATGGTGAGAATAAAGACACAAACACATATTTGTAGTTATGCAGAGCCAAGGGGTCTTAAGTCCAGCCACAATGATGGCTGTCCATAGCAAAGGCCTTGACCCAGGGCCGAACCCATGTTTTAGTAATTTGTGAAGAAGGGAGAAGCTTGAGAATTAATGACTGAGAATGGTGGGAAGTGAGTGAGTGCTGTGAGCTGGAATAGGTAGGAGGCTTGAAATCACTTCTGCAATATGCAGAGAGAAAAGTATGCAGAAAGAGCGATCTGTATGATGCAACTGAGGTCATAATGTTTTGTGGTTAGTGCTTTAGCACTGATGTGCACTCCTGTATGCCCTGGAAATGCTCTTTTATGCTTTATCTCGAGGCTTATCCCAGCAACAGCTAGAGCACAGCTCTCCATCCTGCCCCAGCTCACACATGGTTTTTTGGGAGCTACAGGGCAGGAAAATGCTGTCCTGTTGCCTTGCTTCAAAGACTTCAAAGTGCACATCAGCACTTTGGCTGGACCAATTTGCATTGCTAAAAGCCAATAAAAGGGATAAAGGAAGGTCCAAACCAGCTATGTGTGTCTTAATACATGGAAATAGGGCCAGGTTTCACCCAAATGGAGGTAACTGCTCTTCTTTAAAGAAGAGTTGTCTAAATGATCTTTCACAAAGGGGACATGGTTGTTGAGTCTAAACTTCTAGTTGTGCTAGCTACATCTTGAGCCTTGGTAAAGTCAACTTTGATCTGCTGCAAGCTTAGATTTTTCCCTAAAAGGATATAATTAATACCTAAGGTGTCATTGGAAAAAATTATCTAGTAAGCTGTTAAAATGTTAAGTGTCCTAGTTATAATCAGTTTAAATTATTGTCTTTGAAAGAACTTATGGCAGAAAACCTAATTACTTTTAAGGGTAATACTTTTAAGTTCAGCATAAAGATGCTTTGTTTTTTCTTTTCTTTTTGGCGGAACCAGGGATTGAACTCAGGTCCTTGCGCTTGCCAGGGAAGCGCTTATTCCACTGCGCCATCTCCCTGGCCCTAAAGATGTTTTGGCATAAGATAAAAATGAACAACTATGAGCAGTTGTGTCATAGATTTTATAAGCTGAAAATATATTTAAGAGTAAAAAGGTCGCTAATTAGCTATATGGTTTTGGGTAAAGCAGCTTATATAGAAAATGATAGGGTAAATTAGGTAAGTCTTTGCCAGAACTCACTGTTCAAACCCATTAGATGATTTTATTAGTAAACTTTAATACACTTTTAATTTGTATACAATATTATTGATTTTAAGTATAGTTAGCCCTCTATGATCCTAAGTTGTATACCTAAGTATTCAGTTTAACACAGATCCAAAAATATTTGTAAAAACAAATGCATCTGTGCTGAACATTTATGTCCCTTTGTTTTTCTTTATTCCCTATAGCACTATAACAACTGTTTACACTGTTTTTTTGTTAGAGATTAAAGGGAAGATACATATAGATTATGTATAAATGACCATTTTATGTAAGTCACTTGAACATCCATAGATTTTTTTTTTCTACTTAGTACAGGGTCTACAGGGTCTCACTACACAGATTGGACTCAGTGATCCTCCTGTTTTCAGCCTCCCAAGTGCTGTGATTACAGGTTCACGCCACCATGCCCAGTCGCAATTGCCATCTCAGTGCGCCCTGCAGGCGGGGCCGCCATGGCCCTGTCCCCTGCGTCTGCTTAAGCAGGAGCTTTAATCTGTTGAGCTATCTGGGCTGCCTGAGCATCCATAGATTTTAACCTCATATTAATTATTCTCAGATACCCAGAGACAACTATATAGTTGTGTATAATATGAACTATATTTATTATTACCATTATTCTTCTTACTTCAAGTTACATCAAGGTCATATATTTGTATGATTTAAAGAGATAGATATAATGAAAGGCTTATGCAAGGGAAACTGCAGTTCACACCCTGCCTCTCTTCCCATTACTGTTATTTCAGTTCTTACTGATCTTCTTAGTCTTTACCTCCATATTCATAGCTACATGTTAATGCTACAATTCTAAATTTAAAAATTTTTCAGTATCTGCTCTTTCCTTTGTAAGAAAAATGAGGATTTTGCTATATTTTGCCTTACATGTCCTTTGATCCATCTGTTTTGTGGAGTGAGAATAGGTATCTAGGAGCTCCAACTGCTTCATAAACAGACTGTTGAACACTTACATATTTCTGATTTCCAGAGGCATCTGGTACCACCAGTTCCTAGCTTTTTAAGAGCTAAATAAGTAAATCAGATTGTTTCTTGGCTTTCTCCTTATATAGGATACTGCCTTTTCCACTTTTCATAAGTCATCTTGTTCATCTGTCTTTCCAACTTCTACAGTTTTGTGGCTCTTTTCTCCTTTTCTCTTTGTTCTTGAGGATTTCACCTTTTTTCAGCTTTAAAAAAATTATAAAACCTATAGAAAAAAATGGGATATTTTGCTATCATTTAAATATTCTAAGGGCCACCAAGATAGCTCAGTGGACTAAGTGCCTGCTTAGGCAAGCGACCAGGGTTCGATCCCTGGCACCACATGCTGCACCAGCCCCACCCCAAGGTGCACTGAGCTGAAGACTGAGTCCAGGTGTGGTGGTGCGTACCTGTATTCCCAGTGCTGGGGAGTCTGAAAACAGGCTCACTACGAGTTTGAGCTGCATAGTAAGGCTCTGCACAAAAACAAACAAAAAAACAACTAAAGAATAAAATAGTATCAATATTCTGGTCCCTCAGCCCTTTTACTTACAAGTGTTAGTGTATACAAAGTGTTAGTGTATTCTTGCCAAGTCAGTTATTATTATTTTATGTATTTGGTACAGGGTCTCACTAAGCAGCTTTGACTTATAGTGATCCTCCTGTTTCAGCCTCTCCAGTGCTGGGATTATAGTCATGCACAACCACGCCAAGTCTTGGTGGCCTGCTCAGTACGCCCAGGGTGGGGCTGGCAGGGCATGTACTAGGGATCGAACCGGGGTCCTTGTGTTTGCCTAGACAGGTGCTTAGACCACTGAACTATCTCCACTGCCTAAATCAGTTATATTATTGTTAAAAAATTAGTTTTTCTAACAATTTTACTATATTTGATGATGTTCTTCTATAAAGGAAGCATGTCATTAGGAATTAACTACAAATTTGATTTAAAAACAGTCTATTCTTAATTCTTTCATTTTACCAATTTGAGTATCATTATAGACATGCTTATGCTATTTGTATATTTTCAAAGAGACATTTGGAAGATATCTATTAAAATCTTATACCTTTCATTTGGTTGTCTTATATTGTGTTAGATTAGAATAGTTCTATATGTATTCCATATACAAGTCCTTTATCTGAATATTATATGCTAGTATTTTCTCCCAGTCTGTAGCATGTTTTTTAATGGTGTATATGGAAAAGAAAATTTTTAACTTTGATGAAGCCCAACTTTGGCAAAAATATTTTTATTGACCCTGTATTTGATATCATATCTAAGAAGTTTGTGTCTAACTCAGAACCATACATTTTTTTTTCTGTTTTTGTAATTTTGTCATTATGCCTCATATTTAAATCTGTAATCTATTTCAAGTTAATTTTTTATGTACAGTGTGAGGTAAGATCGAAATTGTTTTGTAAAACTTAAAATTTTTATTTAACGTTTTGTATACAGTGAGTCATTATTCTTGTTGCTGAAATATGTACATTAAGTACATTCCTGTGTCCTTTAAGTATGTCATCATTTGTCTTTGACTACATCTGTGCCTTCTCATTCTTCAATATTTCCCATGATAAATGGCTTAAATTAACCGTTTCTTCATATTTCTGTAGGACTCTGGTTCATTGCAGTAGATGGACCACCATTAATGCTGATTACTATTAGGGTAACAGTTGATACTAAATGTTTGTAGTAAACAGAGTAATGTATTTATAACTTTAAAAAATCATGAATTTATATTGGTATTTTTTTTATTCAGATTTAACATTGCAAAGCTTGCTTTTTTATTTCTATCAGTGGTGTGTTACTTTAAAAATTCCTTTGTTGTTTCTTAATGATGTTTAAAGGTGAATTTTTTTATTCTAGCATATTCAAACATAATCTCAGTACCCTTATATATTCATCATACACTTTTTTTTTTTTTTTTTTTTTTTTTTTTTTTTTTTGTTTTGTCTTGTTTTGTTTTGGTGGAACTAAGAATTGAACTCATGCCCTTGTATTTGCTAGGGAAGTGCTTATTCTACTGAGCCATCTCCCCAGCCCCATACACTTTATTTTCAAGGGCTATGACTAGTTAGTTAATTAAATGTAAGAATCATCAAGGAAAAAAAAAAAAAACCCGAAACTTTGGTAGAGAAAACAGCTGTTTAAAACTTCATGAGACTAAAGAGAAATTTTCTCAACTTTTCCCCCTGTTGTTACCACTTTATAGTTTGGAATGGTCAGCCATCATTGTGGATGAAGCTCATAGAATCAAGAATCCAAAGGCGAGAGTAACAGAAGCCATGAAAGCTTTGAAGTGTAACGTCCGCATTGGCCTCACTGGGACCATCCTTCAGAACAACATGAAGGAACTCTGGTGTGTTATGGACTGGTGAGTAAAAACACCAGTTTCACTCTTGATTTTCAGTTGTGGAATGCATAATTCTTTAGCTTAATGCTGCCTTGTTTGCCAATTGTTAGTTGCAGAAAACAAAAATAATCATTTAACTGTTTACAGAAATATTTGATACAGGGCAGGTAGATAGCTCAGTGGACTAAAGCACCTGCTTAGGCAAGCTTAGGTAAGTGATTCCTGCAGGCACTGCGCCATCCCAGGCACTACAGTATGCCACGTTAGCCCTTCCCCTGGGGTGGGCTGAGCTGGTCACAAAGGAAAAGAAAGAAAATATTTGGTACCAAGTGTACCATAGTATGCTAAGTAGACAGTATCATGAAAACCGGTCTTTCTGTTAGTTTGGTCCCTGAAATAAATATACACACTAACTTGCCATTTCCATCATCATCTTTATTTATACGTCTAAACTCCAGAAAGAAAAAACATTCAATTTTCTTGACTTTTAATTTTGCTCTTAATGAACAAGTGACTTGAGTATATTTCTTTGAAGCTAAAAGAATTGAATACTTTTTCTTTTTAGACTACCTAATAAAACCCTTGGATTTTTCTTACTGCCTTTATTAAGGGCTGTGCCAGGACTTTTAGGTAGCAGGAATCACTTCCAGAAGCAGTTTTCTGACCCAGTAGAACATGGTCAGAGGCACACAGCAACAAAAAGAGAACTAGCCACTGGCCGAAGGGCCATGCGAAGGCTTGCAGCAAGGATGTCTGGCTGGCTTCTCAGGCGCACCAAGATGCTCATCAGTGGTCAGTTGCCAAAGAAAGAAGATCGGGTAAGAACTGCATTTATGTGTATGATTAACTTTTTGTCACATTTTATTATTTTCTAAAAAATTCCATTTTGAGAGGAAGTCTGTCTCTGGTATTTTGTAATATAATTTTGTGCCTTTTATTTTTGTGGAAAAAATAGTTATATGTAAAATTTTAGGTAATACTACGTTAGCCCAGTTATATTCCTTATTAACTTTACTAATCTGTTAGCTAACAAGTTTATTGTTAGTGTGTTAGTTAGCTTTCTTTTTGTTGTTGTTTGTTTGCTTTTTGAGTCAGGTTCTTACTATGCAGTTCAGTCTGTCCTTGTGCTAACTTCGGTGGCCCAGGCTGGTCTCGAATTCATAGCAATACTCCTGTCTCAACGTCCCAAGTGGTGGGATTATAGGCATGCGCGAGCATGCCCGGTTTATGTTAGTTAGCTTTCTGTTGCTGTAACAAATACATAAATCTTAATGCCTTAATGAATAATTAATATTTAAATCAACTTATGGCTGGGGAGATGGCTCAGTGGAATAAGTGCTTCTCTGCCATCCCCGGTTCCACCAAAAAAAAAAAAAAAAAGATGAATCAACTTAAAAAGAGGAAAGATTTATTTTGACTCACAGAATAAGAAGTTTCAGTTTAAAAAAATAAATTTTAAAAAAGGAAGTGTCAGTCTATAGTCTCTTGGCTGTGTTACTCATTAGGACCATCTTTCAGAACAACCTGAAAAAACTGTGGTGTGTTATGGACTGGTTAGTGAAAACACTGCCTGTGCAGGGCAAAGCATAATGATGGGGAGTGCATACATGGTAGAATAGAGTGCTGATTTCATGGCAGCCAGGAAGAAAAAGGAGACAGGAAGGGGACAGGCTCCCAATTTTCTTAAGCACCTACCCTCAATGACCTGTCTTCTATGAGGCTTTATTTATTTATTTATTTTTAAGATTTTTTTTTTTTTGACTGAACCGGGGATTGAA